ACTAACAAACTTTCTGGACACATGAAAAATGGCAACGTGCAAATTATGCAATACAAAAGTCTACCAAAGAGTTTTATCTCCGTGGAAGTGAGGACTGTACCAAATACACAGAGAAATAGGTTCTACACAGCCAAGCCCCCAGATATCACTGCAACTTTTCTGATAAAAACATTCACAATAGAGAAAAATTTTGTCAGTCTGGATATCATCCCAGGAAAGTCGCACCTGTCAGTATATGTGATATGTTACCTTGGTTCAGACCAACAAGACCACCTAGAACAACATTTTGTATCTAACTGGCCACTTGCTAGCACTGAATGAAGAGCAAGAGTATAGCAATTATTCCATTGGAATTGGAAGATAAACCTTTCCGTCTTATTTTGAGAAAAATGAAAAAAAAAATCCAAGAAAGGCATCAAAATATGTAAATAGTAGGGTTTGGTAATAAGAAGCCCTGCTTGGATGTCACAAACATAAGCACAGCAGGGGTGCATCAGAATAAAACAGCATGTCTGCAGCATCAGTGAAATATTAAGACACCCTAATTATAAATCAAGGAGGTTGTTAACATGTTCCCATATCAGTTCCTCTTGTCTAGTTTGGGGACAAGTCAGAACTGCAACAAGCTGTGGAGCATCATGGCAGTGACAGTCTCCAGATTCTGAGTAGCCTTCACCTACAGTTCTACAGCTACTATCCTGCACTTCACAACATGTATCTCTGCTCAGTCAGTGCAAAAAGGCACAGTCCTCAAAAACTAACACACCAAGAATAGGCTCCAATTGTTTCTTTATAATTCTGGCAGCAAGCTGACATCTCTTTAGCGTACACATACTGACGCATATCCTCCTTACATGTATCTTTTTATATACACTATCCCTGCTTGTGGAAATGCATGTTGGCCATCCTTTCACCTATTTAATAATCTTAGGCAAAGTGCAAATAACACGCCTCTATACACCACCATTTAAAAGCAGAAATAAATAATTAAAAGAGCAAATAATGGAACAACTATGAGCTAATGCAGAAATATGTACTTTGGTATTCCTTAACAATAAAAACCTAAGTACAGACTTGCTCCCTAAATAGTCACACATCAACACCTCTCAAAAACTCACTACTTTGTCTCTTACATGACTGTAGCCAACTTTAAAGCCTACCACGCTGACATCTAAAAACCTGAAAATGCAGCAACAGAAATCACTTTTTGTACTTTTATTATTTATGTGAAACTTTAATATTTATGCATCAATGATGCAGCCTAGTACAGTTCAAACATTACAGCAATGCCATACTTATATTAAGCAACTAATTTATAATTACTGCATTTTTTTTTTTAACGGGTCAATTATGAAATATCAGGTCCCTGGAAATGCAGTAAGTCAACTGCACTTAAAAGATTATAAGTTCTGGATATAATCAGTGTCATATCGTGTACTGAATGTACTACTTTCCATTTAATTTTTTAAAAATTGTATTTATAAATTACTTAACATTTGTATTAACAATGGCAAAGCACCTTAAGTTACCACTGTACATAGCTTTACATGTTTTTAGCAAATCTGACTAGAAAAAAATTATTTACAAAGCTGTTAATGTTTCCAGATTCAGCAGTAATTAAGCACACAGTCATGCACTGTGATGAACATGAGGGCTACGGGAAGTGATGAGTTTCTTAAGTGATATAGGCAGCTTTCCATGTAGACATTCTGTGTCAGTACAGTTTGTCCTTTCTTATTATTATATAAGAAGTAATTAAAAAGATTAGGAAAGACATCTACAAAGTTCCGTATCAACAGTGTAAAAGATGCACATCTGGCTTGTAATCAATGTGCTTAGCCTCTTATTGTTGTGGCAGTGAAGTTTCAAATAGTATAATTAAGTTTGGAATTCATAAATATTTTTCTGAGAAATTTGCTGGGAGATGAGGATTAATCCAGCAACAGAGTCTAAACCTATCCAAATATTATGGTTCTGGCTACAATCATCTGCCACTTTTGCTTGAGTGATATGAAAGAGGACAATGGAAGGAGTCATATGAGTTCTGTGAGTACTATATCTAGGCATCTGGAAAAGAAAAGATCTCCTTCTGGCTGATTAACTCTGTCATGATCTGGAGAGCAAAAATTTAAAACTCAAGTGTTTGTGTATTACAAATAGAGTTGTTTGGAAATTCTGTGTGCAACACAAGGCCTAGGTTTATTCTAAACATGTAATTCATTGGTAGAAAATAGTCACAGTTCAGAAAGTTGCAGCAAATATCAGCATAGGCAGCATTCCTTTCCAATGCCACCTTTGTAGGTTTTCTCCAATATATCAAGAAAAGGAAAAAAACAAGTTAAAGAAAAAAATGTCTTATAATCCTAGATAGATCACCATCACCGTGTCATGATCAAATTTTAATCTATCATTTTACTATGATAGATACAAGATCTAACACACTGAGGACTCAACTCATTAGATTTTGGGATATAGTTATACCTTAAACACTGCAATATTTAGTGATTTCCTCCCTGTTTATTAATCTAGGTTTAAAAAAGACCCCAACCCATTTACAGTAATTAATCCAGTGAATCTCAGTCACAGATAAAATTCATTTCATTTGAGTCCAAATCAGACATTTCAGTTCATGCTAATGAAATTCAGATAAACTACCCTGGCTGCAGGCCCATTGACTTCTGGCTGAAGTGTACACACAGCTGGATGGGTGTAAATCAGGCAGGACACAATTTCTGCATATAGGCTAATGACTATTCTGAGTCACCAACGTATAAGAGTACAGACACTAAGCCAGAGACCTCAAAACAGCCTTTTGCCTGCCTGGCAACTTCCTCATAAAAACAAAGCTTACTTTTCCGGCTGTATCCCATTACACGATGTGAGCATTTGTAAAGTAGACTAGACTGAAGCAAAAGAAATAGAGGAAAAATATACCCCTACTGATGTAAAGTAACTTAGGCTGCACAGTCACTTCAAGTCACCACAGATCCCTGCTGACACCGAAAGGATCAGTTCCATTCTCTCCCCCTTGTTTTTCAACACCACCATAACTCAGGCAGTACAATTCGTACATACTTAGCATGAAATGAGTATATCATCTAACAAATTTATTTCCTGAAAATATTACTTTCTGAAAGATTGGGATATGTTGTTATCAGAAATATTTTATATGACTGCAGACTTTATCTTTCTACAAGAAAATCACAGACAAGGCTCATCAATATCCATTTCATTCTATAAACAAAATTCATTCAAGTTAATCTACTTTACTTGGCAAGGGTAGTTTCAAATCTGGTTGTGCTTATTTTTATCTAAAACCCAGCACTAAAGAAGCCCCATCTACATGACTGACTGCCTTTAGTGTAATAACTACAGCCACCTTAAAGATCACTGTCAGCAAAAGGGAAGTAGCAGGGAAGGCAGAAGAACATGTAGGATTGATAACAGAATGAAGCTATATGCTAATGGTAGCATAACTATTGCTTGACAATTTTAATACAACTTTGGGGAAAATCAGCCATAATATAGAATTTTTAAAATGTATGAACAAACCAGACAACTCCCACTGTAGTACCTGTTCACACTAAAACTTCACTAGGATAATGGTCAGCAGTCACTTTACTTTAGCAGTTGTTACAAAAAGTTTTATGAGGACTTCCACAAAAATTTATCTTTCATTTATAGCTTCCTCCCCAAAAATTGGAAACTTTGAACAACTGGTAATAAATGCCATCATATGATTCTTGAAGCTAAAAATTCTCCAAAGCATTTATTTGGTTTTAGCATAAAGATCCTTAACCCACACTATAAAGCGTGTTTCAAACACATAGTGATTTCTTACAGTGATTTCAAGCACCTTAGATAAGATTATTATTTTTAAATGCACATAGCTAAAAAAAAACCAAGAAGTATTAATTTCTGGTAACATGAAAGTATTTTTCATCATCTATGTACAAAAGGAATTGTCACAACCTATTTCCCTGATTCATAACACTGTTTTTCTGATTATTGTTGTGGATTATAACAATAGGCTTCCTGCTGGGCTATAGTTTGCAAACTACAAGGAAAAGGGTAAACAGTTTATTGCTACATACTTCTATTCTGCAGCTAGGCAATCTCTTTAAGCCAACAAAAATTTATTGCCACCTTAGGATGGTATGTAGTCATTACCACCAAAACTCGGACTCAACATAGCCTTTTCCATTCCTTGTCCACCATTTTTTTAACATAATTCTGCAGAAAACACTATCTTCTAGGAAGTAACAATAGTCCTCTATTTAAAATAAGAATTATCATTAGAACTTAAAACCCTATACACCTTAGAAACCAGCCACAAAGCAAAAACTAGTGTTTCTTCCTCCTTTGCATTTTACCTGGTACATTACAAATCATTGTTAAAATTGCCTGAATCTTATGTTTGCAGATAATCTCACAAAATTTAAGATCATTACAAAATTTATGATCACTGTCAACCCAAGCAGACTCAAAACAAAGTTTTCTGGGTCTATGTAGCAAGGTATTTTACCTAAAAAAATACAACAGTAATACCTCCAGAATTTAACACACTGAGTTACATCTATGTCAACATTCTTATCTAAAATTGACTTACTACATGTTTCAAGTAGGAACTTTTGAGATGGTATATCCAGCAATTTATTGAGGCATACTGAATAATTTTAATACAAAACTTACCAATTTTTAATCCAAGAAAACCAAGTCATATTCTCAAACACGACACTACAGGTTGATGGATAGGATTTTCAATTCAAAATGAGTAAACTAAACTTCCAATATTAATACCAGTATATTTCAAAATAAAAATACCAAAAGGCTCAAAATACTTTAAAAATTGTTAGGCTATTGTGCCTTTGAAAAAATGGTAGAACCTAAACACAAAAATTATAATATTCAAGTTATACCAAAACCAGATTTCCTTTTTAAATTTGAAAATAACTGAGCTGTTGAAAGCTAAATATTAATCACAAATAATAAGCACTTACCTTCTTGTCTGTTATTTTTCCTTTTTAGCCATTTTTCCACAGTTTCTGCACTTACACTTTCTGACACAAATTCATCCAGTACCTGGGGGTGAAGAGAAAGATACGCCTTCACTTTTTCATCTGTTAAGCCTGAAAGAGAGAACATTAATTGATTACATTATTGGTGTGAATTCCCTCATATGAAGAAAATACCTAGAGACTAGCAAGAATCAATATGCCTTTGTTTAACACACTGATTGAATATATGACTGTTTAAACAGAACAGAGCGAGCAATATACTGTCAAAAAATGAGCTGTAATGTAGAAAATAGTAGAAGAAAAGTGTAGCCATACAAGATACTGTGTACAAAAATTCCCCTGAAGGCATACACCAGGAGAAATAGCCAAGTAGGAATTCATTACTATGATTGTGACTAGAAAATTATTTCCAAACTATGTAGAATGATATATTGATAAAGAAACTGGTTAGAAAGAGACAGAAGAAGGTGAACTGGGATGTCTCACAGAGCACCAAATTCAGTGTTCTCACTGCAAATGGCAGCAAAATCAACACAAACTCTTATGGAACACCAAAATTATACACAATTTTCAAATACTAGAATTACTTAAGTTACTTTGGATGTATAAACTGTTTTCACAGGCATGCTTCCATTGTTTTAATAACTTAGTTATCAAAATGAAAATAATTGCAGATAAAAGGTATTTACAATATCTGCAACAGAAAGAAAACTCCAGTAACATTTTAGAAAAAGAAGAAAGATTCAGAATCTGAGATCCCTGACATTCATAAATAAATTTTCAAATTCACAAAATTATAATCTGATTATACACTTTGCAAATCGCCCAAACAAAACGACTGCAGATGAACCCAGCAGTGCTGAGGCTGTCCAAAGGTGGAAGCAATAAAAAGAGCCTGTCCTGGGGGACTTGGCTCCAGGACAAGAGGGAACAGGCACCCCAGTGCAAAAGCTTTAATGGCATATGAGAGGAAGAGAAGCAACCACAACTGTAATGACTCTATTGAGATATGAGGGGAAGAGGAGCAGCAGCCAGTGTAATGACTCTATGCCATTTTCTCTTGTGTTTTGCATATTTAAATATAATAGTAAAGTCTCCACAGAAAGCAGTCAGGTTTCAGCAGAAATGAAATTCCCCTCTGAACAACACTGACCTCTTTCAGAGAGTATTCTTGGTACAAAATGAGATAGATTCTCCTACATTGTGCTTTGCACAGTATCAGTACGTGATGAACAGAGGCACAGTGCAATTTGAATGCTAGTCAATGATGGTAATATTTAAGACCGCTTACAAATGTTTACTATGAAAGTCTTCAGGAAGCAATATCAGAAGGAAAACCAACAGCTCCCATCTGCAGAACATCAACCACCTACACCACTTTCCTCACACCAACTGCACCACATCACTTACCCACATCAGCCCCCAACAGCTCAAAACTGGTTTAAACTACTCTTCCTTTTAATCCAGAGGTGGCAGTTCCTGCTGGGTATCATCACCTCAGAGGACAACATTGCTACTTAAGGCAATTCCTCATATTTGAATCACTTTAATAAGAGCTTATTGAGCTTCCTGATTTTCATTAGTGAAGAAGAAAAGGTATATCACAAATCAGTAAGGCAAGTAGATAATCAGCAAGTGGGGTGGAAACAAGCAAAACCCCTCTATGTTGATTGTTTAAGCTTAGGTGAAAGCTTGTAGAGTTAGATCATAATGTAGCTATAAAGAAATAAAAGTGTGAAATGAACAAGATAATTTTAAAGCCAGTTCCGGGATTGCCTCATGTTCTAAAAAAATCAAACTCATTAATATAATTCTGTAATTTGTTCAAATGAGAAAAATGTAGACCCTTGAAAAAGTATTTCTAATTTCTTAATGAGAAAATTTGAAAAGGAAACATGTTTTAAGAATCAATAAAAAAACTTTTAAAGATTTAGCCATCAAAATTTATCTGCCCTTTAAGTTCTACATGAAAAATTATCACAACAGACTTGTCATAAAATGTCTGTTACTTTCAAGTTGTCTCTAGACTGCAAAGAAACACTTTTTTATTTATATATAATAGAAACACTATTTTTTATTTCACTAAAGGTATCTGCGCAGATGTTCTTTCGCAATGTGAGTTTTGTATATGGGAGCAAGAAGAACAAGATTTACAACTATGTTTGCAGAGTTAAAAAGGAATTACTTAAACCTATTTTCTACATAGATTAAAGCCAACTTATTGGTCAGCTCCCAATTGTTAGCCAGCTGCATCAAAAAACATACCCAGCAAACATTCACACAAACTCCACAACCAAGACTAACAATAACACATTGTTACTTCACAAAATGTAGAAATACAAACCTTTCCAAAGACATTTTAATGGTTTGTGTTTTATGTACATTAAGCTAAAAAGTGTTGTAAAGATGCCTGAATGTAAGAGCATTTTATAGCTGTGCAGAAGAAATTATTTTATGGCATATGGAAAGCCACCTTGATTGTAAGATACACATTAGAATAAAATTATTGCATAACAACATGCACACACTCGCCCTCTTGAACATTCACATGCTCCTGAAAACTTCTAGTAATGTATTTTTCTTAAATATTATTGACTTCTCTATTTGACCTCTCTATTGAAGCATTGTAATCCCTTAATTCTGAAAAATGCAAAAAACCCTATTTGAATATTTAGAGATAATAATTGCTAAGATTTAAATGGACAGGACAATAACACACCAACACTCAGGAAACTAAAGGTGCCATTTACAGAATTACCAACAAACACAATACAAGCCAATGCTGGTATTAATTTTTCTGTTAACATATTGGTCCTAAATATTTGGGGCAGCAAACTTTTCTACATTCATTCACATTAGAAATATTTCTCCTCTACTACTTCTCCCCTCACTACCACTTCCCATTACTTCCAGTAATGCAAGGACTTCTCTCATTCATGTTCATCATTTCTTGTGTGAAACATCAAGTGTATACATCAACAGTGCCTAGCAAAGGAAAAGGCAGCAGTGTACACATTCTTAACTGTGTTGGTCTATACACTTCCTCCCAAGCAGCCCAAACAAAAGCTCCCGCCACTTCATTTCATGCACCCCCAGAAAGCATCACCTCTTGTATCTGCAACCCATCTGTCCTCTGACAGAGCTGTGACAGTTACCAAAAGGGACGATCACTCAGGAAGGCTGAACTCTGGCCACTCAGAAGGCCAGAAAGCACAGAAAGACTGGAATAATTGCTCTGGGAATTAAAGGAGGAATCTGGCATTTGATTTGGATGTCCATTCATTCCATTTATGCAGTGGAGTTTGCCCCCATACATATGGCTTAATTAAAAACACACACCAAATCAGTTTTCTCTCTTGCATTCTTATTTTAAAATAATCAACTCACATTTCAGTGCTGATATCTGACACAACTTGCTGTTGTCATGTTTTATGCGTACATTAGCTATTTGTTCGGAATTTGTGATTAAAAAATGAAGGACACACACATATCAGTTAAGCTCTTCCTCTTTTCATTCCCCTCTGAGCAAACCATAGGCAGAGACAGCTCCAGCTGCCCACCACTTGGGGCAGCCCAGCATTCACTTCCTGACCTGCACACCCAGCTACGTTGTGTAGATCTCAATTTAAAATGTTCTCTTTGGCCATACCATATGCTTTCGTGGTTTATAACTCCTTCATCCTTGATGATCTCCAACAATGATGCTGAGGGGAAATTGCCACAGCTGAGGTTGATTGCCTGCTGGGAAGCATCCCTGACCTGACCATGTTCGAGACCTGCCCAGGACATCGCTAACTGGCTTGGAAAATGCAATGCCAAGAACCATTCCAGATAGAAATCCAATTCTAATACATAAGAATGCTCCTTCACACTGCTTACTAACTCAGATATAGCAGAGTTGGGTTTAAAATGAAAAACTAAAACCTTCAAACATCAATTATCAGTAATTATTCCTTGTCTGTGAGCCAGTCTTCAACAGCCTTCCTTTAGACAAAAAAAAATTATAAAGTAAAAAATCACTAGAGAGTCATATTTTTGCTTTTTATGCTGTCTAAAATATTTTAAAAATTTCTTAGCTATTAGATAACCTGTGTAGTACTGAATCGATTAATGGCTCTGCTCTCTGACTTTTAATCCATGTCACACTGCACTCTCCTCTGAGAATAGCTTCACTGAGCTCAGTATAAAGCAGAACTGACTGTGAATGAGCTGAAAGAATTGAAGCCTAGAGCTATGTTTAAAAATCTGCTCCATTTAGCAACATGAGTCACACACTTCATTAGCAATTCTTGCATTTTTTTCATTAGCATTGTGATATTTGGTCTTTTTTCTAAAACCACTAACTTAATCAAACCTCATGTTAGGCAATAATTTTAATTTTCACCTAAAGTGTCTGGTTCCCAGTCTGGGGGGCACATGGGGAGTGACGAAAGAATGGGTAAAAACTGATGAGCCAGCCTAATACTTACCAAAGGTCAGCATTTTATCCTCAAGCAGCTAATCTCTGAAAGACTGCAGTCATTGCTTCCCTCCAAACCCTCTTTCCCATTTAGACAGGATCCAATTATTTGAAAACACATTGTGAGGATGTACACTGGTCATTGTAAGAAGTCAGGTAGATTTTGCACATCATGAAGGCTTTTACTAATAAACACGAAAAGAAATAACTATAAATGCTGTCAATGTTGCATCTATTATCAAGAAGAACAGCAAAGTAATTCAAAGAAAATAATATACTAATTAACTTATTTGGTTTAATAAGCAATTCTTCTCTGAAATTAGAGGGGCTGCAGAGTCACAGCAAATATAGGCAGTCTTAATTTCCCCAAGTAGGTAAAAATGCCTAATATGAAAATATCTTTTCTTATCTGAAATAACAGAATTATGAAAACTGAAGTGTCACACTTCCTCACACTTCAGCATTTGAAAATAAATATCATACTTGTGCAAAAAAAAAAAAAAAGAAGACTTGAAATATGTAAAAGTCATTCAGAAGACCTAATTTGAACATAACTTTGCCTGTGTACTCCTTTATCTAAAGCAGTCTTGTTCCATCTCTTACTTACACAAAGATCACCTCTCTGTATTTTTCTACAGAACTTTATAAGTGA